CAAGAACTTCTACACAACACAACTACAACTTCAACAACATTAACAACATAACACAACTACAACTTCAACAACTCACCCAATCTTTTCTTGAAAATAAAACAAGTTTGGCGTGTGGGGGAAAGAATCAGCCCAACACTATGATCTCATATACCTTAATAGGGATCACCCCGACGAAAACCACGACGATCTTTACAGACTTTGCTTCTTTTTCTCCTTTCTCCTCTTCTCTCCTTTTCTCTCAAGAACCCTAACTCTCACTTTAAAAAGGAAAAATTGATTTAAAATCAGTCTAAAACCTTACTATATCCAAAAGAAATGGTTAGGGAAAAAACCAAAATACCCTTACAAATTCGGGTGACTTCTCTATGCCAACAGCCCAACTTCCGAAGGGTATAATTCACTCATACAAACTCGGAATCGAGCAAACTCGGCAGCGTTGGAAAGAACATTCCACAAGTTTCGCAAACATAACTGGAATTACACCTAACTCATTCTGAGATAGGAGTTATGACTGTTCAAAGTTGACCAAAAACACACTTTTTCCCATACTTGACCAAATTTTCCAGATTTTTAAATTCTTTCCAAAAATGACTATTTCCGATTTTTTAAGCTTCTTCATAGTTATCAACTTGCAAGATGTCACAAATACTTTTCATAATATAACACAAGACTTAAACGTCACCTCATTTAAACCTTTAATACAAAAATCGGAATACTACGTCTCGAGGTAGCCATCTTAAAACACGACTACAACACAAGAGAGACTACTATCTATTACAATACAAAAGAAACTACTATCTAATACATTTACTTAAGGAAACTCTTTAACATAAGGGTCCTTGAATCTGTAAGGACACACCTGAGCTTGGGGATAGTAAGCCAAGCTCATCACTTCTAGGAAAGGTCCTTTAGCCACCACCACCTACACTTGGTGTAAACAGATGAAGAATGGTGTTAGTACAAGAATGCACTAAGTATGATAACCATGCAAAAACATGCTTTTAAAAAGGACATTTAGTTGGAAACCATGCATCATGCCTTTTCAGAGAAACTTCAAGAACATTTAGTACAATAGGCACAATTTTAACTACATACATCATCATACACATGGAAACCATTTATAATAGCACATAGAGTCACTTATAACATTTCAGGCACATTCAATGCATACAATACATTACTTTCCTCTTTATCTTAACTCCTTTCCTCAAGCAACCCTTAGGGAATACTTGGTGCAATGTATCACCTTAAGGTTACCAAAGATGAACTTACATATAACCTTCATCAATACAACCACATATAATCATAGAGTCATAAGCACACCATGAGACATAGTCTTCACATAGTAACCATCACCTAAGGCAACCCCCAAGTCACACTAGTGCAATGTGCAAGTAGCATCCCATAATACTACTCACACCAAGTGTTCTAGGAAGCCACCATAGACTAGGCAAATCATATTCAACAAGTCATAACATCTTAACATTAGACATAAGACCAACATACTTCATAATATCATATAATGACTCATTCATTTACTACATCATTAGTCATAACCCATTTTATTCATATCACAGGTAAACCACCCTCACAACCCCTTCACAAGCTCACTTGTGCAATGTACACATGGAGTCCCATACCCCCACATATACTAAGCAAACCCATTAAGAAGTCATAAGAGTAATTCACATGCATAATCATACTTTATGTCTTGACATACGTAAAGTCAACCTTGACATGCTTTCATATTAACATACATAGACCATAGTCTTCATTACATAAAGAGCCTAATCATAACCTCCCTTAGAGTCCACTTGTGCAATGCATAAGTAGGGCTCACAGTCCTACCTACACTAAGTAACTCTTCAAGAAATCATGACTAGAGTTCATATTCTTATCTTAGTTCATTTCCTAACTTTCGGGAGACATTGCCATAACCGACATAGACCATGTGAGCTACATGGAATCCGGTGTTCTACTCCCACACCGAAAAGAGAGGGTACTACTTGCCAAGGTAGGACCTACATACATAATAGCTATCTAGTGGATCCACTAAGCTAGGACCTACGGGTCTTCATCTTCCCAATCTTGAAGGACTTAACTTGGGAGACAATCAGCTTGAAGGGGAAATTCCATTGTTCATAACAAATGCTTCCAAGCCTGAGAACCTGGGGCTAAGTATTAACTTTCTGACAGGAATTATTCCTACTAATTTGGGAAATCTTCGTGAGTTGCGATCACTCTTCCTACATCATAATCAACTTTCCAATGGACCAAGAGAGCTTGAGTTGTTATTCTTCAATTCTTTGGCGGACTGTAGGATGTTGCAATATCTACAAGTGGGTTCCAATCTGTTGAATGGCACTCTGCCCAATTTCTATTGGGAATCTCTCATCTATTGAAAACTTTCATATAGGAGATGCACATATCAGAGGCCCCATTCCCACAAGTATAGGCAACATGAGCGGTCTAATGACCCTTACACTTTCAAGGAAACAACTTGGCGGGAAGTATTCCGCCTGAGATTGGTAAGCTTAAACAACTCCAAGGGTTGTTTCTATTTAACAATAAATTGCAGGGACATATTTCAGAGGCGGTATGCCATTTATCTAATTTGGTTCAATTATTTCTGGATGGTAATGAGTTCTCTGGATTAATTCCAGAATGCTTTGGAAATCTTAGCATTCTACAACATCTTTATTTGGATTCTAATAAATTTTCATCAAAATTTCCGTTGAGCCTTTGGAAGATGAGTGGTCTTCTCTCTCTAAGTGTGTCACGAAATTCATTTGAGGGAGAAGTTCCACTAGATATTGTGTTATGAACCAAGTCCAACCCAATAGGAATACCAAGATCACACAAATAGTTGTTGGGCTGGCAAGACCTATTGGGCTGAGAACAAGCAATTGGGCCATACTATGTTTGGGATTCGGGTTGATAAATACAACTTGGGAGAGCAAATTGGACTTATGGAAATTGTTAAAGAAAAGAGTGTTTTCTCTCATCTCCCTTCTTAGTCTAAGCTTCTCATCCCCTTCTATCCATCTCTGTAATTTCTGATCTTCTTCACCTTTGATTACATTCTGAGTTTCGTTTTAAGGAATCGCTAGTGGTTACTTGCTTGTTGTTTCCATTTCTCAATTGTATTTTGGGGTTCTTCAACGATTAATATATATATCCTCTTTGTGTGGTAACTTGAGTTGTTACATATTGGACGACTGAAAGCCATTGTAGAACTATATCTTTATAGTAACCACTTTTCAGGCGTGATACCAACCAGATTCGGGAAGCTCCGAAACCTGCAGTATCCAGTATCTTGACCTATCGAAAAATTCATTTTTTGGAAAAATTCCATTATCATTTTCCAACTTGATAAACTTGGAATACTTGGATTTGTCTTCAAATGCATTGTCAGGTACTATTCCTAAGTCATTGGAAAAACTCTCATACCTTAAAAGCATTAATGTTTCATTTAATGATTTAGAAGGTGAAATACCCAGTGGTGGCATGTTTGTAAACTCCACTCTGCAATCATTTCTCAGGAACAAAGGTCTATGTGGAATGCACATATTGGAGATTCCTGATTGTGCTGTCACTAATCCTGGAAAACAGTCAACGCTTAAGGAGGTTGTGCTAAAAATTGTTACTCCAGTGGTTATTGCATCCTTTCTGATATTCTTGTTCGTTTCAATTTGGATAATGAAACGACAGAAGAAAGGAAAGTCCAAAGATGTTGAAAAGGTACCGGAGATTGGGACTCATCAATTAGTTTCTTATCACGAAATTCAACAAGCAACAAATAATTTTGATGAATCAAATTTAATTGGTG